AAAAAACTGTGGCATCCATCATACAACATCTACGCAGGCAGATGTATATGTTTGTTTCTCTATATACATACACAATATACATCGTTTGTATTGTTTTTGTATCTATGTTTGTACAGGTTTGTATGTGTGTTTGTATGTGTGTAAGGATATATAAATACATGTACGTGTCTGTATATGTCGGTGTGTGTTTATGTATGTATCTGTGTGTTTGTATGTGTATGTATGTGTATGTATGCGCGCGTGTTTGTATGTTAGTATGCAAAGTAGTCAACTGTCTCTAATGTTGATTTGTATGTTTCCTCCATAGAGTTTTGCATGTTTGAATGTCTGACAAATTATTTGTATTAAGAATTTTTACATTTTTTCTCAGTTTTTTGTTAAATGTTTTTGTTTGTTTGTATATTTGTTTGTATGTTTGTATGCTTGTGCGTGTATGTTGGTATGTTTTATTTATGTAAACATTTTTGTTTGAAAACGCATATACATATGCCTATACAGACAAAAATGTAAACAAACATAAACTTACAAACATAAACACACAAACAAAAACATAAACACACAAATATACAAACATACAAACAAACAAACAAACAAACATGCGAACAAACACGTTCACAGTAAGTTTGTATGTTTTCTGGATACACGTTGATGAATGGTTGGTTCAGCTTATCGATGGTTTGCAACGACCAACAAAAAAAAACTAAGCTACAAATTATACAGTGTATGTGTGTGTATGTTTGTTTGTATGTTTGTATGTTTTTTTGTTTGTATATTTTTAGTTTGTATGTTTTTTTTGTTTCTATGTTTTTTAGGTTGAGATGAATGCGTGCATTTGTTTTTAACTGTCTTAAAGATATTTGACCAAAAAAAACTAATATAAATTTTTCATTTGTAGAATCAATGAATATTCATTTTGTCGTTCATTCATTCGCTCACTTGCTCGTTAATTCGATCACTCATCCATCTATTGGTTTGTTCATTCACACTTTTGTATCTTTGGTATTTGTATCATTCGACACGCAAACAAGTTTCGTGTGAACATAAAAACATACATACGTTTGTATAAAAATATATGTATGTGTATATTTTGTATGTTTTCTTGGCACGCATGTTGTATGAATGGCTCATGTGAGCATGCAGTAGAATGTTTCGTGAACTAGTTATGAGTGCATGTTGGTATGATATTGCCCGAATACAAGTGAATTGTTTGTATGTACAATACATATATGCGTGAGTATGGTTAGTATGTTTGAGATTGAATGATTTCTCGGTTAGTTTGGTTTGGTTTGGTATAGAAAAGTTTTGACCAATGCCACAGAGTTCTTGATCGGTTTCTGCAGCTTTTACGCGTAGTCTTTTAACTGGTTGCTGGGTTAGGGTAAGGGTCAGTTTGAATTCAATAGTTTGAATATTGTTTGGCGCTTTTCTTGGGATTTCCTTTTTCTCTTGCTGTAGTTACAAGTAGTAGTAGTAGTAGAAGTAGTAGTAGTAGTAGCAGTGGTGATAGTAGTAGTAGTAGTGTTTTTATTATTTTTATTTGTCCAACATTTTTAAGCATTGCTTTATATTCAGTGTGCAGATTATCGCCATTCATTTAAGCCGCGAATTAGCTATTTCAAACATTCATCCATCCGTCTAGTCATTTGTTTGCTAGTTCGTTTGTTCATTCGTTCTTTCATTCATCCATTTATTCATTTATTCATTCATTCATTTGTTTGTTTTTCTGTTCGTCCTTTAATTTATCTCATTTGTTCACTTGTTCATTTTGTAGTTTGTCAATTATTCAATCAATCATTCATTTAAATCTTTATTCATCTATCTATACTTTTATTCATTCATTCATTCATTCATTCATTTATTCATTCATTCATTCATTCATTCATTCATTCATTCATTCATTCATTCATTCACTAATTCATTCATTCATTCATTCATTCATTCATTCATTCATTCATTCATTCATTCATTCATTCACTCACTCACTCACTCACTCACTCACTCATTCATTCATTCACTCATTCATTCACTCATTCATTCATTCATTCATTCATTCATTCATTCATTCATTCACTCATTCATTCATTCATTCATTCAGTCGTTGATGCGTTTAGGCGTTCATTCATTTACATATTTTTTCATCCATCCGTCCATCCATTCATCTGTATACTCGTAAATATTCATATATACATATTCAGAGAGCAATTCCTGTCCGAAGAACAACGATGAATGGAGTAAAACAACAATGAATGAATGAATGAACGAACAAACGAACAAACGAACGAATGAACGAATGAATGAATAAATGAATGAATTAATAAACAAATGAACGATTGAATAAATGAACGAATTGATGTATGAACAAACACAAATAACCTAGTAAATGAATGAATATTCATGTCACACCACACACACACACACACACACACACACACACACACATGCACACACACACACACACTACCAACACACACACACACACACACACACTACCAACACACACACACACACACACACACACACACTACACTCCATATTTAAGTAATATTTCAAGGAAACTCTCCAAGGGCTGGCGTAGCCTGTCATGGTAAATATATTATAAAGTCCCATTACTATTACTACTAGTAGTAGTAGTGGTGGTAGTAGAAGCAGTAGCCACAGTAGCAGCAAAAAAGTAGGTGTAGCCACGGAAGTGGCATTCGTAGCGACGATTTACTGAAAGTTTTTCATTTATTACTTCTACTAAGAATGATACTTCTACTAACACAACTCAAATTCGTCAAACTACTACTACTACTACTACTACGACGACTACTACTACTGCTACTATTATTACTACTGCTACTACTACTACTACTACTACTGCTACTACTACTAATACCAGCGTCAAAGAAGCGATAAACATATCGTAAATATTTATAGACATTCCTTGAGATAAAAACATTTCATTTTTTTTTCAGTAAATTTAAAAGGCACATTTGGACCACATATATATGGATTCTGTAACTGAATATATTCATTATCATCATCTTCATCATCATCTTCATCATCACCACCACCACCATCATCATCATCTTCATCATCACCACCACCACCATCATCAACTTTGTCGTCATCATCACGGCAGCCATCATCGTCGATATTTCTAACTTCATCATCATCTTCATCATCATCTTCATCATCATTTTCATCATCATTTTCATCATCATCTTCCTCATCATCATCTTCATCTTCAGGTCCGAATTCTTCTCAGAGACGTAGGGGGAGGCAAACTTACAGCAGATACCAGACATTAGAGCTGGAAAAGGAGTTTCAATTCAATAGGTTATAATGATGACGACGATGATGATGACAATGATGAGAATGATGATGATGACGACGATGATGAAGTTGACAACCATATCTTAAAACAACTCGCAAACATGTGTAGATTTAAAATTCAACACACACACAAAATATAACCAAAGGACACACAACAGCGGCTTTAAACAAACATACGCTCACATACAAACACACAGGCAAACAAACAAAACACGCGCATACACACACACATACATACACACACATTTACAGATATCTAACCAGAAAACGCCGAATAGAGATTGCCCACTCACTCTGCCTGACTGAGAGACAGATCAAAATCTGGTTCCAGAACAGACGCATGAAATCGAAAAAAGAGATTCAACAGATTAGAGAACTGAACGAGATCGGTGGCGTCATCTGTAGCGGCACCAACCACAGCAGCAGCAGCAGCATGCCCACTCAGCTACCGAATATTTTTAACGGTTCAATGCCGAATGTCGTCGGTATGGACCGTATGAATACCAGTCTGAACTTCAATGCCGCCTTCCATGCGGTTAGCGGTTCCGGTTTGAGTAACTGTAACATCGCTGGCGGTTTCGGTGCTGTTGGTAGTGGCGGGAAAACTACAAAAGGCGGGAAATCCAAAAACGCTAAAAATGGCAGCAACAACAACAATAACAACAACAACAATGACAGTAATAATGTTGTTGTTAATGGTTTTGCTGGAGCTGATGGTTGTTGTCTTAATATCGCTCACTCGCCACAAAATGGCGGCATCACTGCCGTGGGATGTTTATCTACAAAGAATAATAATTTCATCAACGTCACCAAAAACAATAATAATAATAATAACAATAATAATAATAATAATAATCCCATTAAGAACTTCAATACCGTTAGCAACAAATGCACAAATAACGCTGTTTTTCTAAACAACAGCAACAACAACAACAACAATAATGATAACAAACAATTGATGAGTAATTATTGTAGCATCAACAACATTTGTAATAACAACAACGTCAACTTTTACAACAACAACAACAACATGTTTTCTGGTTGTAGCAACAACAACATTATCAACAACAACACACTTTTATCAACAACCACAACGGCAACATCAGCAACACTTGCAACAACAACAACAACAACAAAACAACTTTGTATTAATAGCTCTAGCATAGATCATTCAATGTTTGAACTACAAAAGAGGCACAACATTAACAACAACAACCTCGTCATGAACAACAACATCAACAACAATAACAACAATCTCAACATCGTCATAAATAACAACATTATCAACAACAACCTCAACAACAGCAACAAAGTCAGTAGCATTGAAAACAACAACGCGAACAACAACAAC